AGTTTCACTTTTTAAAGTGAAACTGTTTTATCGCTTTTAAAACAATGATTTAAAAACTCCCACAAAAATAGAAGTGCATACATCCTCAAAGGAAAAGAAACATACATAAAAACGAAGCTCAGAGAGCACCCAGGACCGCGATGATATTACAATACTTAATTCACATTTTTTTTCCTATATTTCTCTGCGTGGAATTGTAGATGGAGGTATCTAGCCTTCTGTGTCCGTAAATGTTTCAGTTCGTTTTGCAAATTATTTTCCATGCTATTTTAATCTTGTTTTTTTAAAGTTTTTTATTCATTTTTTCCATAGAAACAATAATAAATTTTCAACCAACGTGCTGTCTGAGTTTATATATGCTAATACATATTTAATTCCTAATCCTTTATTCTTTGCTCAAGCCAATAGTAAAATAAGTTCCAGGTTTGATAATAGTCCTTCCTTTTCTTTCAGTCTCATAGTCAATCTGTCCATCTCTGCGCATTCTAGTATTTTTTTTAATTATTTCTTCATCTGATGGTATTCCTTCATTCTTCCAGTATTGCGCAAATGTAATTCTTGCCGTTGTTGTGACGTGCAAAGTCAAATATAAGCTTTGTTTATTGACCTTTTCTGGCATTATACCTAATAAAAAAAGTTCAGGTTTAAAATCAACATGTTCTCCTAACATCTTTTCTAACCAAGTATGTATCTTTTTCCAATAGTTCTTTGCTTTATCACATGTCCACCAAACATGATAATACGTACCTGACTTATGTTTTCATTTCCAACATCTATCTGATATATTTTTAAACATTTTCGCTGATCTTGCTGGTGGCAAGTGCCATCTATAAAACATTTTATATAAATTTTCTTTACAAGAAGTTGACATTGTCAGTTTATAATTTCTTTCCCATAGGTTTTGCCATCTTTCTAGTTCTATATTGTGTCCAAAACTTTTCGCCCATCTTATCATTGTTTCTTTAACTTGTTTGCCTTTCATTTCCAAAGTTAATAAAAAATTATACATTTTCTTAATTAATTTTTCAACCGAAGTTAACAGAGTCTTATCAAACACAGTTTGTTCCTTATAAAACCCATACATTTTAACATCTTTTATCATATCTAGTTTGTATTTGTAAATGTGTCCACCATGATAAGTTGATGCCCTGATTTTCCATTTCTTGTTTAGATTTTAAATGTTCTTCAGAGTTTAGAATATCTCTATATGTCCAGATTTTTCAAAGTCCACTAAATTTGGGTGTACAAATGCTTCCATTGTTGACAACCACCCTGGAATTTTCAAATATATTTTGCTTTTTATTTTTTCCCATGTTGTTAACAATGCATTTTTGTATAGTGATTTTGGAAATATTTATGAACTTTATTTTCCCCATACCATAAAAAGGCAGGCCACCCCAATTGTAAATCATGCCCCTCCAGATATAACCACCTTTTATTTTTAAGAATTATCCATTCTTTTACCCATATTAATACGGATTATTGATAATATAGAACCTACTCTGGTAGGCCAAATCCCCCGTTTCCTTTAGCATCTTGTAACATTTTCATCTTAATTCTAGGCTAGCTTTCTTTTGTTGCCAAATGAATTTCAAAATTAATGAATTCAAATCTTAAAAAAAAAATTCTGCAGTTTTATAGGTATTGTTTGAAATAAAAATAAAATTTTCAGTAGTAAATTCATTTTCACTGTAGCAATTTTTCCTAGTATTGACAATTGCAAATTTTTCCATTTTTCTAAGTCCAATTTTAATTGATTTAATAATTTTATATAATTAGCGTCTTTTATCATTGAACATCTTGCTGTCAACTGTATTCCTAAATATTTAATCTTTTTAATTATCTGTAATTCTGTTTTTCCCCCAAAAAATTTTGTTTATCTGTAAGATTTTTAAATCTTACTTTAGTTTTTCTTTGTTTATTTTCAGTCCTGCCGTTTCCCAATAGTTTAGGAATCATCTCCAAAGGTTCCTCTAATCTAAATTGAACACCAAATCATCATTAAATGCTTGCAATTTATATGTTTTGCCTTTTATTTCTAGTCCTTTGTGTTCTATATCTTGTCTAATATTTCTGCTTAAGACTTCCAAAGTAAAAATAAATAACAGTGGAGATAATGGACATCCTTGCCTTGTTCCTTTCCTTATCTCAAAGTTCTCAGTATAATCTCCATTCACAATCACTTTCGCTGTTTGTTTATTATATATCGTTTTTATCATATTTATAAAATTCTGTCCAGAGTCTATTATTTGTAATTGCTGAATCATAAATTGCCAGGAAACATTATCAAACATCTTTTGAGCATCTAGAAATATTAGTGCCATTTGTTTCCCTGGATGTAATTCATAGTATTCTAATACATCCATTATCACTCTTAGATTGTTTTTAATTTGTCTCTTTGGTAAGAAACCATTTTGGTCTGGATATATAAATTCAGTCTCTCAGCCATTACTGAAGTAAAAATTTTATAGTCCACATTCAATAACGATATCGGTCTGTAGTTTTTTACCTGTGTCAAATCTGAGTCTTCTTTTGGTATTAAAGTAATATCTGCTGTTTGTTTTTTGTATGATAGGTAAGCATTAACTTAAACTCATATTTATAGTTAATGCTGGAATATCAAGCTGGTGTATCTAGCCAGTATGGGATCTAATGCTTCATTAAAATCCCCTCCTTTACCTCATCATAAATACACTCATTCAATTACTGAAGAAATTAATAAAACATAATAGGAGAATCTAAATTACATCCATTAACATTAACTATAGCTATTACAAGTCCTGCTATTTTAGCATTTAAAATTAAATAACATCCATTTACATCAGTAATGTATTGTACATCAATTGGAAATCCTTTTTGAAGCAAAATGGACACACTTTTAGTTTTTGTCAAAGTATCTGTGAGATAGATCAGTCCCATCCAATCCTTTATTAATATTTATCTTGTTCCATTAAATGAGTTTCTATAAACAAGCAGTTTCCACCTGTAACAATTTTAAATATGCTAAGATTACATTTTTTGTTTTTTAATTAATTCATCTATTAGTTTTTATCAATATTCTCACAGTGCCAATTCATTTTGTAACCTATACCCAGTGTTCTTTTTCTAAAAAAAAAAAAGTGCCGTAACTCAAACATGTCATACAACCCGCCTTGCCTACCCTACGAAGTTCCATCCAAAAAGGTGCCGGAACTCCGTTCTGGGCGTTCTATGAGAAAAAAAGCCTTGCCTATACCACTTAATAAATATCTAATAGTAAACCTTTTTATATTGAAATGTTTATCATATTCTCTAGTATCGCTCATTGACATAGAAACACCATAAAAACTAGCATTAAAGTAATTATTCTATTCTAAGTTACGGCCTAAGAAAAAATGACTTAAGGATTTGTACTCACACTTATGACTGACACACACACACACACACATACACATACACACGTGATTGCAGCTTGAGCATTTGACAACCAGCTTTATGATCAGTTGCACTGGCCATTGATCAAGATTTCCTATTTTTTTGGGGGGGGGAGGACTGATTCCTGGCAATAATGCCCATTGGGGAAGCTGAATTTGTTTAATGATCATGTTATTCACTTAAGAACCATGTGATTTGCTTAATGGATGCTGTAAAATTTCTCATAAAATTGGGCCTGACTGCAAAAACTTACAATGGAAAATCTGGTCCCAATTGTGTCTGTAAATCGCGGACTATATTCATTTCAAAATTTATAACTTGGGTGGAGTGAAGGTCTCTTTCACACCTTCCCCCAGTTTGGTTTCTTAATAAAGGAAGACCCTCGACTCCATTTGTAGTGAAAGTTACTAAAAGCCAAATGGACTACAGTATAGCAAAGCCAGAACTGAAGTTCGTGTGCCAAAATTTCCCAGTTAACATTCCCTGTCCAGTTCCTCTCCTCCTCTATGTCAACTGTCCAGTTGGCATTTCCAGGTAAAGAAACTTTTGGGACATGATTTTACCAAGAGTATAATACTTTACTGAAAATTTACATTGGCACAAAATTTACATTGGCACGCAAAACCAGCTGTCATGGTTCTGACAGACAGAGATGAATAAAGCAGAACGCTGAGGCTTGCAAATTCCTCAAAGAACCTGTTTATTAGTTACAAAATATAAGCATGGTCAAAGTTGAAACCATGTCTGGATACACAAGCAACAATTTTCCAATACAAAGTTAAATGTCCCACCCATAAAAGTTATGCAAGCAACTACATTACCCAGTATGATTATTTGGCAGGCTTTTTATGAAACGCCCAATCCCTAGTCTCGGGATGAGCCGATGACCTTGGTTCCCATGGGACAAAAGATTATTTTGACTAGCGAAGCACCTGGGCAACACCTCTCCCTCCGTTTTATGTGGCAATCTAGAATGGGAAGAAAAATGGTTGCAGCCATTTGTAGAGTTGACACCAGCTCTGGCTTTCCCGCTCAAAAGCTTGCTTAATTAAACAATAGATTCCCTCCCTCTACCCACTGGGTATTCACATTGTCCAATAGTAATACTTCTTCTTGTTATGGGAAAAGTCCACTTCTCCATCGAGCACCTGCATTAGTGACCTTGGTGTTATCAGCACCAAGCTCTCAAAAGATGCCTCGGTTGCCTACATACCATCCCTCCTACCTTTGCATCCCACAATCTTGTCAAGCTATGAGCAAGGAGAAAATGTAGGTGAAAGGGCAAATCAGTCTTTTCACCCTGGCCCCTTATTGTCCAATTATATTTGAGTAAACTGTTTTTGCAACTATTTTTGCATTATTCTCCCATGGTAACGACTTAGAAGACTCTGAGTGGCACCCCCACCACCTTCAACTGTTTCACATTCCCCTCCCTCCCTCCATACTTCATGGCAGGCTGACAGCCACGAACGTATGATGGCAGCTCTGACAGTCCCATATTGCACCTGATGCTGCAACTCTGGAGCCTCAGTCTGTAACCCGTCTCCAGTCCCTCCTAACTCCGCCCTGCTCTCGTTTCTCCCTAGGCTCCTCCCCTCGCGTAACCCGTGTGAGCTACTCTTCTGCGACGGAGGCTTGTCCAGGGCTGTCACCCTTCACAGCCGAAGGTTATATGGATGATCAGCTCATTGTTCGCTACGAAAGCCACACCAGGAAGATGCATCCTCGAGTAGATTGGATAAATACACTGGAGAAGGAAGATTTCAGATTCTTTAACAAGTACACCTGGATTTTGCAAAAAGACCAGAAAGACTTTCAGGAGGATGTGCAAATGCTCCAGAGGCGCTATAACCAAAGTGGAGGTAAGTGAGGGGTGGGAGAGACAAGTGAGGAGTGGTAGAAACATGGGTGCTATCTTCCAAGAAAGTAGACGAAGGAGAAAGCTCTATTTTCTTATGGATCTTCCTGCCTTCCTCATGAATCGGACCGATTGGTTTACAGTAAGCTGGCTGCTGATGCCCTGGCCTTTTTCCTCTTGCAGAGCTCCAATGAGCTCGAGTCTAAAATGAAAATATGGCTGTCATAGTCCTGACAGATGAAACTCTTCAAAGAACATTAAGGTATTGTTTACCCTAAAGAATCTTTATTTGAGAAGCATAGCATTGGCACTAACACAGTCAAAGCCAAAAATTGGATTTCCCCTCCCCTGAGCACATAGTATCAAAGCACAATTCCATCCTCCAATTAACAGTCATAAATCACATTCTACAATTAGTTTGAAATGCAGGCTCTCCCTCCAGTTCTCCAGCCCGGCCAATTCTTATCATCTCTTATTTCAGTAACCTTGGTTCACACACTAGGTTCAGTATTATTATCTCTAGCTCAGCGGTTCTCAACCTATGGGTCGCGACCCCATTTGGGGTCGATCGACCTCTTTTGTGGGGTCGCCAAACGCGGCGATCCGCCATTTTGTTCCCTCCGGGAGCGCGCTGCGCCTCCGGGGGGGCGGTGCCGCGCACGCGCGCCACGCGTGGGGGCGGCGGCGCGCCTCCTGGGGGCGCCACCGCGCATGCGCCCCGCGTGTGGGGGCGGCGGCACGCCTCCGGGGGGTGGCGCTGCGCATGTGCGCCGTGCATGGGGGCGGTGCCGCACCTCCGGGGGTGGCGCCGCGCATGCGCGCCGCGCGCGGGGGCCCTGCCCCCATGCGCGGCCGTGCCGCGCATGCGCATAACGTTTGTGTGACGGGGGTCGCCGTCACACAAACGTTGAGAACCGCTGCTCTAGCTAAACTCTCATGCATATTCCTTCCCCCAGCATCACCTAACTCTAACTCTAAGAGTAAAACGTAAGAAGGAAATGGTTGCATCTCCATCTCTTGTCAAAGCAAAAACATCTGAGGTTAGCAGCGTTGACAATGGCAGTCCCACCGAGAAGCATTAGGAATGTGAATTTTTTTTGTGTGGGTGCAGAAAATTGAGCAAATTGAGCCCAAAATTGCTGTTGCTAAGTGAAACATTTGCTAAGTGAGTTTGGCACATTTTACGACCTTTCTTGCCCCAGTTGTTAAGCGAATCACTGCACAGTCGCTAACCCTAACAGTCCTAAGACTATCTGTACATCCATATAATTTTCATAGCAACAACAGAGAATAGAATTAGAATTAGAATTAGATAGAATAGAATAGATGGAAGGGAACTTAGAGATCTTTTAGTCCAAACCCCCTGCTCAGGCAGGAAACCCTACACAATTTCAGACAAATTTTTGTCCAGTCTCTTCTTAAAAACTTCCAGTGTTGGAGCATTCATAACTTCTGGAAGCAAATTGTTCCACTGGTTAATTGTGCTCACTGTCATGAAACTTTTCCTCAATTCTAGGTTGCTTCTCTCCTTGGTTAGTTTCCATCCATTGCTTCTTGTCCTGCCCTCAGGTGCTTTGGACCCCCTGTTCTTTGTGGCAACCCCTGAGATATTGGAACGCTACTATCATGTCCCCCCTCGTCCTTCTCTTTGTTAAACTAGACATACCCAATTCCAGCAACCGTTCCTTATATGTTTTAGCCTCCAGTCTTGCTCTTCTCTGCACTCTTTCTTGATTCTCAACATCTGTAACAAATATCATCCACAAATGCTAACAATATAGATCTTTTGCCTTCATAATTTTGAGTTATCTAAAAGTGATCTCAGGAAAGGTGACTTCACTCCAGTGCCGGGAGATGTGGGCCTCTAAGAAATCCTATCTTAATTAAGAAATTTTGGACTGTATGAGGAATTTCCCAGCCTTGTTTATAGTGAGTTCCTTTATAGTGAGAAATCTGTCTTATAGATCCCCAATTCTGTCTCAACCTCGACTGGCCTTCAAGATCTCTTCCTGTAATCCTTGTCTTCCTTGCTTTCTTGTCTCAGCAGTCACAGAATCTGGAGCTCCAGCAGGAAGTGGCTTTCTCTGATTTCCTAGAGAGCTTTTTCTCCTAACCTTGGGGATGCTTCTTTTAGGCTTTCACATCGTCCAGTTGATGGTCTCCTGTGAAGTGGGGGAAGATGGGAAAAGGAGCGGCCGCTGGCAGTACGGCTATGATGGGCGGCATTTCCTTGACTACGAGATGGCGACCGGCATCTGGACAGCAGCTGACAAAGAAGCCCAAGGGATCAAGCAGAGGGCTGAAACCTACATCAAGCAGCGTTTCACAGATTTCCTGGAGAGCATCTGCACGGAGTGGCTGCAGAAGAACGACCACTATAGATCAAAGACATCCTTGAGGGAAGGTATGGAGAAACAGCCAGAGAGAAAGTATGGGAGCTGCATGTGCTTAAGTGTTGCAAGTGTTTCCTGTCTAGGTTTGCTGGCAAAGAACAGGTCAGATGAACCAGTTAGCTTGTTTTCTGCTGGCGATCGTCAGCCGATGTGCTGCCCCACTCACTCACACCCAGGTAACTGTGGTTTAATGAGTTTATTAATGTTCCCCAGTAATTCCCTTTACCAATATTCAGAACTGTCTCTATAGGTCCAGCCACAAGCAAGCCAAGATTAGTCCACAAAGCAACTGGTCAGTAGTCCACAAATAAATGAAAGTTGTTCCAAAAGATAGCTCCAACAAACAAACTTAAATCCACCAGGCCAAAATAACATACACACTCGAAAGCTCACTTAGCAAGAAAAGTTCAGAGTCTCGAAGGCACGATTCTAAACACAGTGAAGCAGGAAGCAATGATGAGGAAACAAACAGCCGGCAGTAACGCCTCCCTATCCCTGTTGTCCTAAATAGCCAGTTTCCCAGTGCAGCCCATCAAGACGGGCAGGGCCTTCTCTTCCTGAGTAGTCTGGCTGACCTCTATTGCTCCTGCCTTTTCTCTGCTCTGTGTGCTCTTGGATCAGGTGCAGGAGACAGTTCCTCCTCCTCTTCGCTGGCCCTCTGCCTCTGCACGTTTTCCCCAGCTGAAGCCTCCTCTGATTCTCTTTTGGCTGGCTGTTCAGAGTCATTATTTAACCGGGTTCCAGACGTGCCAGGAATGGCCTCATCCTGCCTTGAGCTTATCTCTGAGGAAGAATCTCGGGAGTCGTCCAAGCGATTGCAGCCTTGATGCTGCCCTTGTTTTTAGCCCTCTCTGATTTTCTTTTTTTTAAATCAGCCTCTAGAAGTGGAAATAGTAGTGTCAATCTTGTAAGAGAATCCAGACAGGAAACAGGACCAGAAGAGTTAATTCGAATCAAATCAAATCAACTTGATTTAGCCACAGGGGATTAGACACACAAGGAATTTGTCTCCAGGACAGAAACACTCAGTGTACTTGCAAGGCAACAGAGAAAATAATAATACAGCTCGACTTACAGTCACAATTGAGCCCAAAATTTCTGTTGCGAAGCGAGAAATTTGTTAAGTGAATTTTGACCCATTTTACGACTTCTTATAGTTGTTAAGTGAATCACAGCAGCTGTTAAATGAGTAACATGGTTAGTAGGAGAATATGGCTTCCCCGCTGACTTTGCTTGTCGGGAGGTCGTAACAGGTGATCATATGACCGCTGGACACTGCAGCCATCATAAATACAAGTCAGTTGCCAAGCATCTGAATTTTGATCATGTGACCGTGAGGATGCTGCAACGGTTGTAAGTGTGAAAAACTAAGTCACTTTTTCCTGTGCTGTTGTAACTTTGAACAGTCACTAAATGTTGTAAGTCGAAGGGTACCTGTATTTAATAAAGTGCTTTTATGTTTGTTTTTCCGGCCAAAAGAAACTATTCAAAGCAACTTGATTTATTTGGAGACTCCTAGTTCTGGTTGCACATGTGATGCATGTCAAGCTAATTTCTGGAGAGGCTCAATTTTGATTCTAACATCCTTTTTTTCCCCCCAGTTCCTCCAGTGGTGACGATGAGCAGCAGGACAGAAGCCGATGGTATGGAGAGGCACGTCTGCCGAATCCATGGCTTCTACCCCAGGGAGATCGATGCCTCCTGGACGAGGGATGGGGAATTCTGGCTGCAAGACACCTTCCATGAGTCTCTGGCCCCCAACTCTGATGGGACCTACTATTACTCGCTCGGAATCCAGATTGATCCCAAGGAGAGGGGCCGCTATCAGTGCCACGTGGAGCACGATGGCTTGCAGCAGCCTCTGGATCTGGACCTGAAGGGTGAGAGGCTGCAGGGAGGGAAAGGCTGGGCTCTTTTTACAGCTGGAGGATTATGGAAGAGAAATTGTGCCCAGATATATAATAATCATAACAACAACAACAACAATAAATAATAGTAGAGTTGGAAGGGACCTTGGAGGTCTTCTAGTCCAATCCCTGCTCAGGCAGGAAACCAAATACTATTACAGACAGATGGTTGTCCAGTCTCTTCTTAAAAACCTCCAGTGTTGGAACATTTACAACTTCTGGAGCCAGATTGTTCCACTGATTAATTGTTCTTTCTTCTTAGATATAGGTTCCTTCTCTCTTTGATCAGTTTCCATCCATTGCTTCTATTCTATTCTATTCTATTCTATTCTATTCTATTCTATTCTATTCTATTCTATTCTATTCTATTCTATTCTATTCTATTCTATTCTATTCTACACTTCTCCTATGACGTAAAGACATCTGACATTTCTTAACTTGGTAGATCCCTTATCTTTCTCGCTGTTTGAGATCTTTCCCCCCATTTGCTCTTTCTCCCAATCCAGTTCCAGAATCCAGTTCCAGTCTGGGGCTCATCATCGGTGTTAGTGTGGCTGGCGTTATCTTGGTGTGTGCAATTTGTGGGATCTTGGCATTTCTCAGTAAGTATCCTTTTCTGGATGGATGGATGGATCAATTTCTTTCATGTGTCTCCCTTTGGGGAGCTAGCTAACCTATTTGCTTACTTGCTGCTTGCTTGTTTATTTATGTATTCATTTATTTATTACCTGCCTTTATTATTTTCACAAATAACTCAGGGCTGTAAACATATCCAACTCACTTTCCTCCTATTTTTTTCTCCACAACAATAACCCTGTGAGGTGGTTATGTGACTGGCCCAAGTTCACCTAGCTGGCTTTCGTGGCTAAGGTAGGACCTGATCTCAAGCATGGTCTTCCGCTTTCTAGCCCAGTGCCTTAACCACTAGACCAAACTGTTTCTCTTCTTTTTCTGGGCTTCCTTTTTCCCTGTTTTCCCAGGTGACTTAAGGAGCATCTGAGATCTCAGCCTCTTGCTGGGATTCCAGTCTCAGTTCAGCTGAGTCCAAGGTTTGGACAGTCCTGTCTTCTTCTGAGTTGGGAAGAGGCATTCCAGTTCTGTCCCTCTCAAAGGCTTTGTTCAAAGAGAAGGGCTTCAATGAAAATCTTCCTCCCCTCCCAGCTGTTGCTTCTGCTTGCTGCTTTCTCCGTTTCCCTTCCCTCCTGGGGAATAATCCATTGATCATTGATAATCAGGTGATCCTGTGAGGGAATTGGGTAGCAGCTGTCCAAATAAAGTCAGAGACACTGACACGAACTTGTACGTTTATATAAATAAATATATTTAACATTTCTATATACAGCAGACTAGATAGGCAAACAGGAGCATCGTGAGGTAAATCGCAGAGCCCAGAAGGGACACAGAAGAAAAAAGGCGGCAAAAAAGGGACACTCCCCCTCCGCCGCACCCACAGCAACCAATCACAGTGCAGTTTGCCTCAGGCAGGAGCCAGCACACTCAAACCATCGGTACCTAGTTAAAAACAAATATACATGACACCTAAAGAAATGGCAAGTCGAAATGAACAGGCACGTAGCTGCCAAAGTTTCATTCTTGACATATCACCTCCCCAAAAGAAGAATGAATCTGGAAATAAATAAAAACAAATATATAAGCATATAGACATGGATTAGGAATTAAAACCCCCAATCCGTGTCTATATGTATGTATATTTGTTTTATTTGTTTAATTCTATGAATTGGTGTCTGGGAACCTCAAAGTTAATTTTGCTCTGACATTACCATGCCGTGTATTTAATAAACAGTAAGATTTTCAGAAACAGAGTGAATCTGATGATTTATTTGGATCCTCAAGCTGGATGTTGAAAACAACCCCTGTGTATTTGGGCTCACTGCACAACCCCACTGCTCCAGCTACTAAATTTGAATATCTTAACACGATCCATTTGTATCAAAGCCAGGATCCTGGGATTCTCTGTCCTAAGAGAGGGACTGATTTGATCCTATTTAGAAGGCCTGTTGCCATGTGAGGTTGGCATGCTTTGATTCCTGATGTGTCGGCAATGTCTTTTGGTTGGATCCAGAAAGGGTACCGTCTCTGTTCCTGCTCCTCCTTTTGGAAACAAACTCCCTGAGATTTGGTTAGTCCCAAATAGAGATGGGAAGGCCTGGGAAAAAAAACCCAGAAAAAATGGGGAAAAACAGGAGGGGGTATTCTGTTTTTTTCCTTTTTTTTCCCCAAAGCCATTTGTAAAAAAACGGACAAACTGTTTTCCTCCCAATGTTTCTGGTTTTTTTCCAGGCCTTCCCATCAGTCTTCTTTCTGGAGAACATTAAACTCCTATTTCCCCCCCCCCCCCAGATCTTAGAAACCCTTTTTCAGATTAACACATTTTGTTAAAAGGCACCAGCTTTTGCAATATGCATCTTTTGAAGTGAGGTCATTAAAGTTTACGCCTTCCCATCATTGACTGCCTTCCCCTTTCTGCAATCTAGGATTCAGGAGAGGAGAGGATGATCCCAGGAATGACCCTTCTCGTGAGTAGAATTATTAGCAAATATTTTTGTGTTTTGCATGCGAGAATCAAAGTCCAGGCTGTGAAAGGAATCTGAGAGCAAATGCAAGCAAAGATGTCGGTAAGAATGGCGGGCGGGTAGGATTGGGGAACAGTCCAGGTTCAAAATTTTCTCAGCCTGCTATAAAAATATTATGGGCTGCCTGGAGCCCTTCAGGTAGGTTTGTCCATTTAAATTTTGTATCCCATCTTTATTATTTTATTTTATTACTGTCAAGGTTCTGACTGACGAACCCAACCAAGCAAACACCTTCGAGAAATTCCAATCTCTTAATGTAAAACTTTATTGAGTACATCATTTCGGCACACATGAAAGCAAAACCAGCTCTGGCAAGATCCCTCTCAAATTGATATAGGAAAAGCATGGAATTCTCCCTCCTCCCTCTGGGTCAGGTCACGTTGCCCAATCAAGTAGAAAAATATTGTTATGAGAAAGTGTCTCTGGGTTTGGTCAAACACCTGGTGTAATGTCCTTGAGTCTCACGGTCTAGCTTCTGAATTTTGATGACTGCATTCCAAACCCTTCCTTTCTCCCCCCTCCCGGAGTTCATTGGCACCTGAAAAGCAATAATTATCACACCAGCAAAATCATGCTTCAAAACTTGACAATTACTTTGCATTTATTTATAAGTAACTCATTGTGGGGAACAAATATAGTACTCTTCTTCCTCCTGTTTTCTCCACAAAAACAATCCTGTGAGGTGGGGTGGGTTGAAAGAGAGAGTGACTAGTCCCAGCAGGCTTTCATGCCTAAGGCGGGACTAGAATTCACCATTTCCTGGTGATCGGCTGAAATTCATCCAGCCTGTTTTCGTATGTAAGGCTGGACTAGAACTCACTGTCTCCTAGTGTCTAACCTGGTGCCTTCACTACTAGACCAAGGTGGTTATACACTGGCGCCCCTCCAATCAGCTTCTCTGCTGTGACAACTTGGCTCCAATTCTGTCTTTTTGGACCCTCAGCTCTGAAGTAGAGAGATGAGGGAAGGAGCCGGGAGCAACTTTGACCCCAGAAATGGAGGTTCTCCCTGAGAAAGGATGGGGTGAGGGGGGAGGAGATCTGGAAGGAGAAGGGGGGAGATAGCTGGGCTGGAGGGAAAATCCTTCATGGTGGTGGTACTTAGGGATGGAGGAGAAGCGAAAAAGAGAAGTCTAGAAGAGAGATGAAGAACATATCCAGGAATTCATCTCCTCAGGGAGCTGACCCATCAACAGGGAGCAGAAGCTTCCCATTATACAACTAGATGGGAACTTCCCTCTTTTTCTCCCTTTTGCAGCAAAACAGCTGCCAGTTCTGACCAGGTTGAACTGAATGCTGGCACTGGAGAAGGAGAGGAGTTTCTCTCCCACAATCAGGGATTCCTGCAGCCTCTTCTGGGAGGGGGAGAGCTGTCCCCAGATTGTTCAAGACCTCATTTTGGAAGCCTTAAGAAGGAACAGACGATTGTGGTGTTGGCTGCTGCTCCTTTTCTGGTCTCCTGCGAATTGCAATTAAATAAATTTGAGGGCACCAAATCAAGTTCAGTTCCTGATGACTGTAGAGTCAAAAAAGGCTTCTCAATCTCCTTAACTTGGCTGATTTTGGTCATTTCTGTCTTCTCATTTTTTTCTGTAGGTAGAGCTCCACTTATGCCCAGTTGCTCAGGAACCATTTGAAGTTACAACGGACCTCCTCAGAGGTACTTACAATAAGCTTCCATAATACTAAGGGCTGCCCATCTTCCCCACCCCCCACCTCTCCATAGCACTTATGGCTGTTTGCAGCTTCCTGCAGTCACATGACCGTGTTTTCCTAAAGGTGCTTTTTCATGAGGCTTTCTTGTTTTTCTTTGAAGATGTTTTGCTTTTCATCCAAGAAGCTTCTTTTGCTCTGACTGGATGGTGGAGACTGGGAGGATTTATATCCTTGCAAACAGCTGGTCATTTGCCTTCTTTTAGAGAGTCGTTGAGGCCACTTGGAAGAATGCAAATGACCAGCTGTCTGCAAGGAATAAAAATCCTTCCATTCCCCACCATCTGATCAGAGCTGAAGAAGCTTCTTGGGTGAGAAGTGAAACATCTTCAAACAAAAACAAGAAAGTCCAGTTGCCTCCTGGAAAAGCAATTTTAGAATAACCATGACCTGGATGACTGAGAATCTCCATAGTCATGACCACATTTTGTGATGTTTTTGTTGAAAACTTGCAGTTTTCAGCAAAACCAGCTTATGGTGAACAATTGACTGCCTCAAAAAAAGTTATAAAATTGGGTGGGTCACATGGGTGACCTGTTTTACAACCACCATGACTTGGGAGCATAATGAGCAGACTCCATTATGGTCATTAGTTGGAAACTCTCTCTACCTCCCTCCCCCTTGTCAAGCCAAAAAATTTTATTTTGAGGGGTCCTTGATGTTCTCTGAGCTTGCTGTCAGCAAACGAGACTCCTTACCAGCATTGATGATGTTACCTAGTTAGGTAATGAAACGTCTGCAAGAAAACAAGCAAGCTCAGAGAGCACCAAGGACCCTCTCAAAGCAATGTTTCTCAGCCTTAGTAGGTTTAAGATGTGTGGACTTCATCCCCCAGAATTCCCAAGCCAGAGCTACAAATATATTTCAACCCTGAGCTACAAATATATTCCTTTATTGGTACATTTTATTTGATTCCACCAACTAAATAAAACCCATATTAGTTTGAGCTGGGGGGGCAGAAAGTCAAGGTCAATTCTGGTTAGTCAGAATCACACTCCAGCTTGAAGTCAGCAACCAGGATAGATCTTGGCCTCCTGGTTTGTCCTCATCCAGGAACAAAAGTAGATGTTTTTTGTCATTGCAGGTCTGTCACTTTAATGTCCTTCTGCAGTGTTGAATTGATCATTGTTTGTCCTATGTTTTCTCCGCAGTCTGAAACGATGCTGTCAATTGAGATGGGAGCACAGGAAACATTTAATGTGGAATGTTTTTGCATTGAAAACAGATGGAGATGCAGCCATTTTCTTCTTTTTGCTTTTAGAGTTAGATGATGCTGGGGGGGGGTTGTGCAGAAGAGGCTAGCTAGACATAATAACACTGGACCTAGTGTGAGAACCAAGATTGTTGAAAAAAGAAATGATAAGGAATTGGCAAGCTGGAGGGGAAGCCCATGCTTCCAACTAATTGGGGAATGTGATTTATGACTGTTAACTGGAGGAGGGAATTGTGCTTTGATATTATGTGCTCAGGGAAGGAGACCTCAGTTTTTGGCTTCAATTATTTTAGTGCCGATGCTATGCTACTCAAATATTCTTTTTTTAAAAACAAATTTTTATTGGTTTTCCAATTTTACATTGAGTATTCGGAATGCAGCGTGGTGACTGGGTAATCAGTGGTTCAATAACAAAATCTTTAGTACATATCTCAGGTTACATCATCAGAAATTCCTTCTCCATTTCCCTTAACATTTGTTATATCACATTTAGGCTAATAGATCTTTAATTATAACAAAGTTAGTTAAAACATTTATCAATATATTTTTTGCTTATACATATCCATATCCTGTTTTTAAGTTTTACCTAATTTTTAATTTTTATATTACAATATCCATAGTGTTTGAGTTTCGGGTAATCCAAATTTCCTTTATTTCACTACATAAAAGTTATCATATCTAGAATATACATGTTACTTACAAATATATTCTTATCTTATTTCATAAACATTTTCTATTTCTCATCCTAATACATCATCATTTGCTGATAGAGTGTCCTTTATTGTCTCAAGTCCATCATCATCTATATTATCTGGGCTAAGCAATAGTTCGAAGCTAATTCCTAATTGTTTATTTTCATTTCCCTTATAAGTCTAAATCCTGAATATTAAGCCAGTTAATCCCTTATTTTTTATCATTTAACAACAATATTTAAATCCAATAATTTCCCTTCATCTAAAAATCTCCCTTTAGCCCATTAGTTGAGACTTTAGGATCCTCTATCATAAATTAAAAGATCCTATTTTTTTTAAATCTAACTCTGGCTTTCTTTTTGTGCCAACCAGTCTTCCATACATGCCTTGAAATCATCAAATAAATCTCCCTTCGTTCTTGTACGTATTGCTTGAACCAAGGGAGACCATCTAGTTATCAGTTTTCTAGAAAGGCTGGCCCATTCATAGTCGTAGGTTGTTGTCCAGGTGGCTCCTTCAATTTGGTCTTCTTGTTCCTCAGGTTTCTTCTGGTTTAGGTAGAGAGTCACGTCCAGCTTTAGGGTGGTTATTTGGTTATCTAGGTTTTCAATATGCTATATTTGTTGATCTTTAACAGTCTCTGTGTTAGTGTTGCTTTGTTCCACTTCTGTTGCTTTTTGGGTTGTAAGTTCTTTAGTTGTGGTCAGGGTTTGTCTGTCAAAAGTTTCAATAAATTGTATTGGTTGATCTTTAAACTCCTCTGTCTTGGTATTAATTTCTTCTGCCTCTGTTGGTTTTTGGATTATAGGTTCTTTTGTTGAAGTCAGAGTTTCATTTTGTAGGTTTAAGCTGGCACCTTTGTCTTTCAGTCTGGATTTAATTATTTCAGTAGCTTCAGTAGCTTCAAGGAGTTTATAATTAAGTTGTTGCTGGTCTTCCTCCATTTCCAACACAGGTATAGGTAGTCCTTTAGTGAAGGCTATTTTTAGATGAAAGTTAGTAAATGTTTACCTCCACGATTCCTAAAAACCAATTTTACTGTCCAGCTGTTCTCCCAGCTTTTTATCTCTTTTAGATAGTACCAAGGACAAATCTGGGCTGTAAGCAGGTCTCTTTAACCAAAGTATTTTCTTGTTATACCAAGCTTTGCCACAAGATGTCCCTGACAGCATTTAAAATCTTTTTCAAGAGCAGGGCTAGGTTTTTATCCAGATAAAGTTCTTTTTCATAGATAAGGTGACAGGTCCCCATGAGAATAGGAATTTTTTGGTCCTCAGATATCAAGGTAATAAAAATCCAGTTACTTAATTGTATTTTTCAGGACTTTATTTTCCCTACGTAGTCAGGCGCTGCCATTTTAGAGGGTAGGAGGAAAATGTTTCCTTCCCTCTCTCCTCGCAGGGGGAAGAAGTTTCAGAAGGCTTTTGACAGGAAAATACTTGGGATACAAAAAGGTAAAGTCTCACCCAGTTCCTCCGTGGGGATTTCAATGTGTTTGGTTGTAAATTTGGCCTTGGCAGAGCGGCTTAATGATGGGCCATGTGAATGGCCGATCTTTTCTCTGTCGGTTCGAAGAGCTGCCCCGGATCAAATGGAAGGGCTGCTGCCCTTCCGCGATCAATCAGGACATCCTCTTCCCCTCTCGTTGCCCCTCCAAGGCAACTTTCGGCCCCTTTTAGGGTCCCCCGTCGAGAAAATGGACGGCAGAGGGAGCGATCGCCCTGTACATCCGCCAACGCCGTGATCCGGAACCGGAAGCCTAAACTCATAATCCCTAAGTCGGGGGCACAGGTAGATTTAAAAGTGTTAGTCAATTCTGGATGCTCCTGGTGCATCATTAGCTTGCCATTTGACATGAAAATGGGCATACGAGCAAAATTGCTCTCCAAACCTGTGAGGTTTGAGCAAGCCAATGGCTCCCTGATGGGAGGAACTTTAGTCACGCAAGTAACTGAGCCCCTATGCTTAGAAATAGGTGAGCACTGGGAGTTTATTCGCTTCCTGGTGGCTCCAAAAATGAATGAGCTGTGATCCTAGGATTAGCCTGGTTGGACTAATGGAAGCCATTTATCTGGTGGGAGAAAGGAATGAGAACTGTGAGACTACCTATAGGGCCCAAGCCCCACTGATTCAACAGACGTTACAGGAAACTTTAGTCCACCCAATGAGGGAACGCACATGGCTGCCTCACTGCCACCAGGCGAGCCACTCATCCCCAGCGAGTACCAGGACCTAGCGGAGGCATTTAGTGAGAAAGAATGCGATGCCCTGCCTCCTCACCGACACAATGATTGCTCCATTGAACTGTTGCTGGGGGCCAAACTCCCACAATCGAGAATGTACACTATGTTCCCCCTCGAAATGGAGGAGATGCAGCGATATGTGGACAAAAATCTAGTGAGAGGATTAATTGAATGGGCCAGGTTTGCTGTGGGAGTCCCTGTATTGTTTAAAGAAAAAGAAGATGGGTCCTGGTGTATCTTGATGACATCCTGATATATAGCACGAATATGACTGATCATATACAGTTGGTGAGAGAAGTGTTAAAGAAACTATTGAATGCCAAGCTTTATGTCAAACTGTCAAAATGTGAATTTCACCAGACCGATTAGATTATCTTGGCTACAGAATTTGCAATGAGGGCATTGAAATGGACCCAGCCAAAGTGAAAGCTGTAATTGAACGGCAGCCCCCCAAAGACTCGCAAACAGCTCCAGAATTTCATAGGTTTTGCCAACTTCTACCCTCAATTCATCCCCTCCTTTGCTGAGATTGCCCAACCCCTTACAGAACTACTCAAAACAGGCAAAGGAGGAGGGAAGCCGCAACCGGGCCAACCACTAGGATGGACCATGAGCTGTCAAACCGCTTTTGAGAATTTAAAAAGACTATTTGCTGTTGAACTGGTCCTAAAGCACCCTTGCCCAGGGGAGCCCTTTGTAATTCAAGCCGACACTAGTGACATGGCCATCAGAGCTGTATTGCTGCGAAAGAACCAAAGTGGATCTTTGCAACCCTGCGCCTACACCTCGAAAAAATTTACTGAAAGCAAAAGGAAGTGGGCCATCTGGGAAAAGGAGGCTTTTACAATCAGGTGGGCTCTATTAAACTGGAGACACTATCTAGGAGGGAGCAAGGTGCCTTTTGAACTATGGACAGATCACAAAAATCTAGAAGCATTGAAAACTACTCGCAAATTGTCCCTGAAACAGGTACATTGGGCACAGTACTTTAACCATTTTAACTTCACTCTAAAGTACATACCGGGAGAGTACATACCCCAGAGAAGGAAATATTAAAAGGGCAGAATATTATATTTCCTCAAAGAATCTTAAAGAGGCAGAAAAGCATGCCCAGTTTTTCTTAATAGCCCCAAGTCTCCCTCCCCCAAGCAGAAACCAGCTCTGTAGAAATACAGATGTAATAATCTATTCAGGAAGGTTGGAGGCCTCCAGCTATAAACTGCAACCTTCTTTTTAAAGCAGTCGCCATGTTGTTTATTCCTAGCTTGGACTGAACCATGAAGAAGAGTTTTCCTTCTTTGTGGCAGCCTTGAGGATCAGGGCTCCCCCTTTCTCCTCTCAGGTGCAGCTGCTGTGCTATTCTGCGCTCAGGCTGGGAATCATTTTTTTCTTCCATAATTTTTATTCTCAGGAATTTGTCTCAAATTCTTTCACCTAGGGGTTTCTGCAAAACAAAGGCAACCGTCACAATCTCAAGTCCAAGCAATCCAACCTCTCAAGCAGAATAGAGCTGGAAGGGACCTTGGAGGTCTTCTAATCCAGCCCCGTTCAGACAGGAGACCTTATATCATTTCAGACAAGTGTCTGTTCAGTCTCTTCTTAAAAACAGGGTTCTTAACAAACCCTTTGCCCCAGGGCTCTGTTCTGGGCCCAGTACTCTTCAACATCTTCATCAACGATTTGGATGAAGGGATAGATGGGGAACTCATCAAATTTGCAGACGACACCAAGCTGGCAGGAATAGCCAACACTCCAGAAGACAGGCTTAAGATACAGAAGGATCTGGACAGACTTGAACACTGGGCACTAACTAACAAAATGAAATTCAATGGTGAAAAAAGCAAGGTTCTACATTTAGGCAAGAAAAACCAAATGCACAAGTACAGCATAGGTGGCACCATGCTCACTAGTAGTAACTGTGAGAGGGACCTCGGAGTCCTAGTAGACAATCACTTAAATATGAGCCAGCAGTGTGCTGCAGCTGCCAAAAAAGGCCAACACAGTGCTAGGCTGCATTAACAGAGGGATAGAATCAAGATCACGTGAAGTATTAATACCACTCTTTAATGCCTTGGTAAGGCCACACTTGGAATACTGCATCCAGTTTTGGTCACCACGATGTAAAAAAGATGTTGAGACTCTAGAAAGAGTACAGAGAAGAGCAACAACGATGATTAGGGGACTGGAGGCTAAAACATATAAGGAACGGTTGCTAGAATTGGGTATGTATAGTTTAACGAAGAGAAGGACAAGGGGGGACATGATAGCAGTATTCCAATATCTCAGGGGCTGCCATAAAGAAGAGGGAATCAAGCTATTTTCCAAAGCACCTGAAGGCAGGACAAGAAGCAACGGGTGGAAACTAATCAAGGAGAGAAGCAACCTAGAACTAAGGAGAAACTTCCTGACAGTGAGAACAATCAATCAGTGGAACAGCTTGCCTCCAGAAGCAGTAAATGCTCCAACACTGGAAGTTTTTAAGAAGAGACTGGATAGCCATTTGTCCGAAATGGTGTAGGGTTTCCTGCTCGAGCAGGGGGTTGGACTAGATGACCTCCAAGGTCCCTTCCAACTTTACTACTACTACTACTATTATTATTATTATTATTATTATTATTATTATTAATAATAATAATAGTTCTCAATAGTTTTTCTTGGGAGATGCCTGACTGCAGCATGCTACCGGCACATTTTGTTTAGCAATAAGTCAAACTAAAATACACAAACCCATCTTTTACTTGCGTTGCCAATCTTTTTTAAGTGATGAGTATGCATTCCATGTACACAAAAAACAAGGGAAGATACCAACAGAAGAGAGCTCGGAGTTGAACTGTGGAATCCTTGGTGCTCTTTGAACTTGGTTGTTTTCTTGTAGGCCTTTCACTATACAGCTGGGTTAATAGCATCCCACCTCATCCCTTTTCTTTGTCAAGCTGCCAGTGAAGGGGAATATAGATGAAAGTGCGAGTCAGTCTCGACAGGAAGGATTTATATTCTTCAATACAAATCCTTCCATTCCCCATCATTCAGTCAGAACTGGAGAAGCTTCTTGGATGAGAAGCAAAACATCTTCAAGGAAAATGACACCAAACTGACAGGAGTAGCCAACACCCCAGAAGATAAACTCGGGATCCAAAAAGATCCCAGGCTGATAAACAATCGGCCCTACCCAACAAAATGAGTTTCATTGTGGACAAAAGCAATGTTTTGCATTTAGGCAGGAAAAATCAAAGATACAAGTGCAGACTGGGCAAGACCTGGCTTAAAAACTGTAACTGAGAGGGACCTTGGAGTCCTAGTGGACAATCACTTGACTATGAGCCAGCAGTGTGCAGCAGCAACCAAAAAAGCTAAAAGGTTGTACGAACAGAGGCATAGAATCAAGATCACATGAAGTATTAGTACTGCTTTATAAAACACTAGTAAGACCACACCTGAAATACTGCAGCCAATTTTGGTCATCGTATCACAAAAAAAAAGTTGAGAGTTTGGAAAAAAGAGAAGAGCAACTAAGATGATCAAAGGCCTGGAGACTAAAACATAGGAAGAACGGCTATGGGACTTGGCTCTGGCAAATCTAACGAAAAGAAGAAATAGGGGAGACATGATACTGTGTTTCCCCGAAAATAACCCCCCCCAAAAGACCTACCCTGATTTGTGGGGGTGGGCCTAATATAAGCCCCACTCTAAAATAAGCCCTAATTAGGAACCTACCCACTCCGTCCCACCTGGCTGCCACAATGGGGCAGGAGGCCACGTGGCACATCCCGCCACTGCCGCCACAATGAGCTGAGGCAGGTGGGGGAGGGGGTGGAGCAAGATTTATTTAATTTTTTTGCGAGAAGTTGGAAGGTCTGACTGAAATTTTTTTAGTCCCACAAACTCTGTTTCCCTGCAGCAGGAGAGAAACATGCCAGAGCTGGAAAGCAGGTTAGTGAAGAAATCTTTTCCTTTTGGGAAGAGGGAGGAGCAGGACAATGGTGCGCCATGCTCTATAGCAGCACCGGGAGAAGTGGCAGGAAACAGGGATGCCATTTCGAGAACAGAGAAGAGAGACGCGAGGCGATGGTAGGGTGGCAAGCAAGTGCTCTTTTCTGCTCTGCATTGCTACAAAGAGACGCTTCCCTCCCCGTTCTCTGTTCTCTAGTGGTGGCGATGGAGGGCTGGCGGAGGGAGGCGACATTGCCAGGCAGGTAATTTGTGGGGCGGAGCATGAAGAAAGCCCCTCTAGCGGCGCACAACAGCAGAGCCTTGCACCGTCACTCCCCTCAGGTTCAGAAACGGTGGAGGGGGACCAGGTCTACTCTGCCCATCCTCCGTAGGGTAGCATGGAAGTCCAGCTCACCAGGGAAGTGAAAGGGACCAAGGAATGGCCTGGCTGGGGGGGGGGGGGCTGAAGGAAGCAGGTGCAGAGTGTGTGGAGCAGCTCCAGTCCCTCCACCAACCTCCGTTGTGGCAGCCGCAATGGGATCTGCTGCGTGGCCTTCTACTGTGAGCGGCCACAGCAGAAGTGGGCCAGCAGCCATGCCGGCTCCTGCTGGATGGGGCTGTTGGTGCCACCACTACAAGGTGAGGCAGGTGTCATGAAAAGTATAAGACACTGCCCAAAACAGTAGGCAGCACCTACTGCCTCTTTTGGAGGCAAAAATAATATAAGACCGGGTCTTACTTTGGGGGAAACACGGTAGCAGTATTCCGGTATTTGAGGGGCTGCCACAAAGAAGAGGGGGTCACATTATTCACCAAAGCACCAGAGGGAAGAACAAGAAACAATGGTTGGAAGCTGATAAAAGAGAGAAGCAACCTGGAATTAAGAAGAAACTTCCTGACAGTGAGAACCATTAACCAGTGGAACAACTTGCCTCCAGAAATCCTGGGCGCTCCATCACTGGAGGTTTTTAAGAAGAGGCTAGACCAGGGGTAGGCAATCTTGGCTCTTATGACTCGTGGACTTCAACTCCCAGAATTCCTGAACCAGCCATGCTGAGGGCAAAGGGAGAGGTTTCCAAGCTGAGTCATGGTGACTCAGGAATTCTGGGAGTTGAAGTCCACGAGTCATAAAAGAGCCAAGGTTGCCTACCCCTGGGCTAGACAGTCACTTGTCAGAGATGATATATGTTCTTCTGCTTGAGCAGGGGGCTGGACTAGAAGACCTCCCAAGCTCCCTTCCAGCTCTATTCTACTCTAAAAACAAAGAAAGCCCAGTTGCCTTTTGAAAAAAGTACCTTAGGGACAACTTAAAACTGAAACAGCACCGAGCTGACTCCAGCATACTGGAGCAGTTGGCAGTATGCACGTTTTATAGTTTTTTTTATTTAAAGAACAAAACACAAAAACAATAGGAATAGTGATGCATATATACATTGTGGAAGAGAAGGGAAAAACATATCAGTAAAAAGAGCTGGAACAAAAAGATAAAAAATAGGTTCACATATTACAATTCTATACTGTATGTACTTGAAAGGCAAAAATATAATTTTGTAATCACATTCTTTAGGGCAAAATTATTCCAAACAAATATATTTCTGACACATTTACATAGCTATTTTTAAATTTAATTTATAGCTGTATAAATAAGTCCCATGTTTCAACTGCATTTATCCATACAAAGTCTTCATCTATAGGCTCATAGTTGATGGCCAGTCAGATTTTCCTTCCATTGAGGGAAAGGGCCATAAATTTATCTTTCCAATATTGCTTAATATTGAGTCAGCCCTGAGCTTATGAGTCTTTGGGACTCTAACATACAGATAGTCCTTGACTTACATTTCTTTAGTGACCATTCAAAGTGATTTCTGTTTTTCAGTTATGACCGTTACACCTTCTCCATGGTCACGTGATCAAAATTTGGACGCTCAGATTTACAATAGTTGCAGTGTCCCGGGGTCATGTGATCCCCTTTTGCGACTTTATGACCAGCAATGGAGAAGCCAGATTCACTTAACAACCCTGTTACTCACTTAACTGCAGTGATTCACTTAACAACCGTGACAAGAAGGGTTGTTAAAATGGGGCAAGATTCACTGAACAATTGTCTCAGCAACAGAAATTTTGGGCTCCGTGTGATCATACATCGAGGACTGCCTGCACTAGAACAGCTTGGCATCCTACACATTTAATAGCTAACAATACTGTCATCCAATGAGGATTGGAGGGCAGCAAGGGGGAACTGGGGCTGGGCCAACAGGGTGGGGTGAGGGGTGGGGAAGGGGGCAGCAATCAATAATAGTTTGGTATTTGGGCAGCTGAGGATAATCTAGAACAGGGGTCCCCAACTCCCGGTACGTGGATCGGCACCGGTTCGTGCAAACAAGAGAAGCCCCATCCACGGGATGCAGGCAACACGTGGAATTACGCCCCCTCTGGTCCGCAGAAAACCCTTTCTTTGCAGAACCGGTCCCTGGTGTTCAAAAGCTTGCGGGCCACTGATCTAGAACAGGGGTCTTCAAACTCGGCCTCGTTTATGACTCATGGACTTCAACTCCCAGAATTCCAGAATCAGCCGTGCTGTATTTTCTTCTTTCCCGTCTTCCCTTAAAACAGCGGTTCTCAACCTGTGGGTCGGGACCCCATTTGGAGTCGAACGACCATTTCACGGGGGTCGCCAAACAACGCAGTCCGCCATTTTTTTCCCCCTTTTCCTTAGCTGTGCTACTCCCTTTTATTCTATTGGCTTTTGAAAGCCAACAGAATAGACTCTCTTGAATAGAGTCTAATTCTATTGGCTTTCAAAAGCCAATAGGAATTGTCCAGGCTCCACTCTACTCTACTCCACATTCTATTCTATTCTATTCTATTCTATTCTATTCTATTCTATTCTATTCTATTCTATTCTATTCTATTCTAACTCAAGCGGTTCATCTTAGCTTGCTGTATCAAGCAGGCCTTCACCTTAAATCATATATTTACTTCTTCTGCCATAACAGCTTTGTGAATACAGCCACCTTGTTTTGATAGCCTTGTTTACCACATTGTGTTGAACTCAGCGGACATTTTGCTACTCGCTAAATATCCGAGCAGTTAAAAAGCTTACAAACATCCAAATACATTTGCAAACATTTCATCAATTCTATTGCAGTCCGAATAGCTCAGCCAGAGCCAGGAAGTTGACATCGTGACATGAACAAAGAGCCACGTGGGAACGTTTCCTCCCATCTCAATTCACAGCATCGTTTCAGACTGCGGAGAAAACATAGGACAAACAATGATCAATTCAACACTGCAGAAGGACAGCAAAGTGACAGACCTGCAATGACAAAAAACATCTACTTTTGTTCCTGGATGAGGACAAACCAGGAGGCCAAGATCTATCCTGGTTGCTGACTTCAAGCTGGAGTGTGATTCTGACTAACCAGAATTGACCTTGACTTTCTTCTTGGGATCAGTTGCCCCCCCCCCAGCTCAAACTAATATGGGTTTTATTTAGTTGGTGTAATCAAATAAAATGTACCAATAAAGGAGTATATTTGTAGCTCAGGGTTGAAATGTATTTGTAGCTCTGGCTTGGGAATTCTGGGGGATGAAGTCCACACATCTTAAACTTACTAAGGCTGAGAAACATTGTTTTGAGAAGGTCCTTGGTGCCCTCTGAGCTTGCTTGTTTTCTTGCAGACGTTTCATTACCTAACTAGGTAACATCATCAGTGCTAGTAAGGAATCTTGTTTGCTGACAGCAAGCTCAGAGAACATCAAGGACCCCTCAAAATAAAATGTTTTGGCTTGACAAGGGGGAGGGAGGTAGAGGGAGTTTCCAACTAATGACCATAATGGAGCCCGCCCATTATGCTTCTAAGTCACGGTGGTCATAAAACAAGTCACCCATGTGACCGACACAATTTTACAACTTTTTTTTGATGTAGTCAATTGTTAACCATGGGTTGGTTTTGCTGAAAAATGCTGGTTTTCAACAAAAACATCACAAAATATGCTCATGACTATGGAGATTCTCAGTCATCCAGGTTATGGTTATTCTAAAATTGCTTTTCCAGGAGGCAACTGGACTTTCTTGTTTTTGTTTGAAGACGTTTCATTTCTCACCCAAGAAGCTTCTTCAGTTCTGATCAGATGGTGGGGAATGGAAGGATTTTTATTCCTTGCAGACAGCTGGTCATTTGCATTCTTCCAAGTGGCCTCAACGACTCTCTAAAAGAAGGCAAATGACCAGCTGCCTGTAAGGAGTATAAATCCTTCCATTCCCCACCATCCAGTCAGAGCGGAAGAAGCTTCTTGGATGAGAAGCAAAATGTCTTCAAACTAAAACAAGAAAGTCCAGCTGCCTCATGAAAAAGCACCTTTAGGAAAACACGGTCATGTGACTGCAGGAAGCCGCAAACAGCCATAAGTGCTATGAAGAGGTGGGGGGTCGTGGGTGGGGAAGATGGGCAGTATTATGGAAGCTGGTAGTAAATACCTCTGAGGAGGTCTGTTGTAACTTCAAACGGTAGCTCAGCAACTGGTCATAAGTGGAGGTTTACCTATAGAAAAAGATGAGAAGGCAGAAATGACCAAAATCAGCCAAGTTAAGGAGACTGAGAAGCCTTTTTTGACTCTATAGTCATCAGGAACTGAACTTGATTCGGTGCCCTCAAATTTATTTAATTGCAAATCACAGGAGACCGGAAAAGGAGCAACAGCCAACACCACAATCGTCTGTTCCTTCTTAAGGCTTCCAAAATGAGGTCTTGAACAATCTGGGGACTGCTCTCCCCCTCCCAGAAGAGGCTGCAGGAATCCCTGATTGTGGGAGAGAAACTCCTCTTCTTCTCCAGCGCCAGCATTCAGTTCAACCTGGTCAGAATTGGCAGCTTTTTTGCTGCAAAGGGGAGAAAAACAGGGAAGTTCCCATCTAGTTGTATAATGGGAAGCTTCTGCTCCCTGTTGATGGATCAGCTCCCTGAGGAGATGAATTCCTGGATATGTTCTTCATCTCTCTTCTAGACTTCTCTTTTTCGCTTCTCCTCCATCCCTAAGTACCACCACCATGAAGGATTTCCCCTCCAGCCCAGCCATCTCCCCCCTTCTCCTTCCACATCTCCTCCTCCCTCACCCCATCTTTTCTCAGGGAGAACCTCCATTTCTGGGGTCAAAGTTGCTCCAGGCTCCTTCCCTCATCTCTCTACTTCAGAGCTGAGGGTCCAAAAAGACAGAATTGGAGCCAAGTTGTCACAGCAGAGAAGCTGATTGGAGGGGCACCAGTGTATAACCACCTTGGTCTAGTAGTGAAGGCACCAGGTTAGACACTAGGAGACAGTGAGTTCTAGTCCAGCCTTACATACGAAAACAGGCTGGATGAATTTCAGCCGATCACCAGGAAATGGTGAATTCTAGTCCCGCCTTAGGCATGAAAGCCTGCTGGGACTAGTCACTCTCTCTTTCAACCCAACCCACCTCACAGGATTGTTGTTGTGGAGAAAACAGGAGGAAGAAGAGTACTATGTCTGTTCCCCACAAGGAGTTACTTATAAATAAATACAAAGTAATTGTCAAGTTTCGAAGCATGATTTTGCAGGTGTGATAATTATTGCTTTTCAGCTGCCAATGAACTCCGGGAGGGGGGAGAAAGGAAGGGTTTGGAATGCAGACATCAAAGATTCGGAACCCATCGCGGCCTCTCTAGTTGCACGGGGAGACTCGTCTCCTCGTCGGCTAGCTTTCTCTCCGCCGGCAGACCCTTATGCGGCTCCAAAGTTGCCCTTCTGTCGAGGAGGCTACTGAGGAGTGGCGGCTCCTTTAGCGGTTTGAGCTATCTCTGAGGGCCGACGAAGATCGGCCAGTAAAATGGCCGATCACCCTGCTGCTTCAAACCGCAAGCCAAAGAACATCTAAGCTGTAAGAACCCCCATGGTGAATCCGGGTGAGACTTTGCTTTGCTATTCTCTCTATTCTATTTTGTTTTTGGTACCTGAAAGAGCCTTGTTGGAATTATTTCCCTGACTTGAAAAGGCAGCTTCTACATTCTTTGGGAAGAAAGGTGTTCTATAAAAATAGAACAAAATTTTAAAGACTATATTTTACTTTTATATTTTTTGGGGTACAGGAAATTTTTTTTCTTTTTTCCTCTCTTTCTAAGAATTGTATTATTATCCTATACTGGAAGATTATTTCTTTGTCACATTATATTTTAAAAGATACCAAAAAAAAGGAAATGGTTTCTGGAAAAGACCTTTTTTAATTTACTGAGGACATCTAGTGGCGAAAATTTAAAACTACAACATCTGGTTACTTGGTGTGAAGATGGACTAGATCTGACCTTCAAAACACTTTTGAAGAGAAAAGATAAGCTGGGCAGCTGTGGGAACTGTGGGGGTGGATATTGCCTAAATTATATCAAATATAGCCTCCACAAAAAGAAAAAGAAAAGAAAAGAAAAAAGAGACTCTTTTTAATTACTATCAAAATGGAGAAACCTCAGTCACAATTAAACTGTACACTTATATTGGAAAAGATCTATGAGGCTACTGCAAAAATATGTGCTACAATGAAAAAGTTCACTACAAAACTAAGATCCAGAAATTTCACTTCAAATGTGCAAATGGATGTCCAGGCTACATCTGACTATGGTATAAATCAAAACATACTAGAAGAGTAATTAACAGAGATAAAAGAGGAACTTATTCCAGCTTACAAACCTTCCATCTGCAATTTAGAGGAACTGAAGAAGCAAAGACTGAGACTTCAAACTACAAAGCAATGACCCTTTAAGGAAGAGAGAAATAGACGTCTAATGCAGAAGATGGGATTGCTATTATTTCAAAGGCTACTGCAAGCAACAAAGACAGATTTACTGGCTGAAAGGGAAGCATCCCTATGGAAACCTGCTTGACACAGGAAAAAAGCCAGAATTAGACTGAAAAGAGAAATTTAAAATTGTGTAATGGATTTAAAGGCAATGTTTGATTTATGGTTTGTTTTAAGGATTATGACTTAGAGTTAGAAGCAAGAAAAAATATAAATATATATATATGAGGGTGTTTTTTAGAAAAGATATTTTAAATAGATTAAAAATACTTTTTGGAGTAACAGATTTATTTTGATGAAAATTATGTATTGGAATTGAAAAAATGTTGATTTTTTAGATTGGGATGGTTTTAATAATTAATGGAGTGTTTTAATTTAGATGATTTTTTTGTACAATAACATAGATGTGATAAGGTATGACAATCAATTGGATGAAATTTGAAGTTTCTGTAATGAATTGAAGTGAATTAAGGTTTAACATTATTTTTTAACTAAGATAGCTATTGTGTAATGGAAGAATAAATAAATGAGATTGGTGATAAAAGGAGGGATGAGAGATTAAGAACTAGAATATCTCTGGAAGGGATATCTGAATTTATAACTTGTTGATTTAAAGTTAAATTTGATTTTGGTAATTGTAAACTGATAAAGTTTTAAAATAGGTTTAGTAGTAATAGAAATTTAATTTAGAAATGGAATATTTTAAACGTATAATGTTATTTGAGGGAAATAGAGAGGAGACAGTGAATGTATTGAGTTGAGTTGTTTATTTATGTTTTTACTTTGGAATGTCTGATTACCCAAACACCACGGTGTGTCCTGAGTACTTTTTCTTAAAAATTAAAAAAAACAATAAAATATTTTCAAAAAAAAAAAAAAAAAAAAAGATTCGGAACCCAGACCGAGAGACTCAAGGACATTGCACCAGGTGTTTGACCAAACCCAGAGACACTTTCTCATAACAATATTTTTCTACTTGATTGGGCAACGCGACCTGACCCAGAGGGAGGAGGGAGAATTCCATGCTTTTCCTATATGGGTTTGGGAGGGATCTTGCCAGAGCTGGTTTTGCTTTCATGTGTGCCGAAATGATGTACTCAATAAAATTTTACATTAAGAGATTGGAATTTCTTGAAGGTGTTTGCTTGTTTGGGTTCGTCAGTCGGAACCTTGACAGTAATAAAATAAAATAATAAAGATGCAATACAAATCTAAACAGACAAACCTACCTGAAGGGCTCCAGGCAGCCCATAATATTTTTATAGCAGGCTGAGAAAATTTTGAACCTGGATGTTCAAATCCTACCCGCCCGTCATTCTCATCGACATCTTTGCTTGCATTTGCTCTCAGGTTCATTTCACAGCCTGGATTTTGATTCTCGCATGCAAAACACAAATATATTTGGTAATAATTCTACTCACAAGAAGGGTCATTCCTGGGATCATCCTCTCTTCTCCCGAATCCTAGATTGCAGAAAGAGAGAGCAAAAAAAGGAGATGTTAGGAGAAAACCCCAGGGGAAGCCGGTCAACGATGGGAAGGCGTAAACTTTCATGACTTCACTTCAAAAGATGCATATTGCAAAAGCTGGTGCCTTTTAACAAAATGTGTTAATCTGAAAAAGGGTTTCCAAGGTCTGGGGAAAAAAATAGGACTTTAATGTTCTCCAAAAAGAAAACAGATAGGAAGGCCTGGAAAAAACCCAGAAAAAGTGGGGAAAAATAGTTTGTCCAGTTTTTTCCAAATGGCTTTGGGGAAAAAAGGAAAAAAACAGAACACCCCCCCCATTTCCCCCCATTTTTTCCGGGTTTTTTCCCCCAGGCCTTCCCATCTCTATTTGGGACTAACCAAATCTCAGGGAGGGGAGGTTATTGCCCTGTTTCCAAAAGGAGGAGCAGGATCAGAGACGGTACCCTTTCTGGATCCAACCAAAAGACATTGCCGACGCATCAGGAATCAAAGCATGCCAACCTCACACGGCAACAGGCCTTCCAAATAGGATCAAATCAGTCCCTCTCTTAGGGCAGAGAATCCCAGGATCCTGGCTTTGATACAAATGGATCGTGTTAAAGATATTCAAATTTAGTTGCTGGAGCAGTGGGGTTGTGCAGTGAGCCCAAATACACGGGTTGTTTTCAACATCCAGCTTGAGGATCCAAATAAATCATCAGATTCACTCTGTTTCTGAAAATCTTACTGTTTATTGAATACACGGCATGGTAATGTCAAAGCAAAATTAACTTTGAGGTTCCCAGACACCAGTTCATAGAATTAAACCAATAAAACAAATATACATACATATAGACACAGATTAGGGGTTTTAATTCCTAATCCATGTCTATATGCTTGTATATTTGTTTTTATGTATTTCCAGATTCATTCTTCTTTTGGGGAGGTGATATGTCAAGAATGAAACTTTGGCAGCTACGTGCCTGTTCATTTTGACTTGCCATTTCTTTAGGTGTCATGTATATTTGTTTTTAACTAGGTACCGATGGTTTGAGTGTGCTGGCTCCTGCCTGAGGCAAACTGCACTGTGATTGGTTGCTGTGGGTGCGGCGGAGGGATAGTGTCCTTTTTTCCCCGCCTTTTTTCTTCTGTGTGCCTTCTGGGCTCTGCGATTTACCTCACGATGCTCCTGCTTGCCTGACTATCTAGTCTACTGTATACATAGAGATGTTAAATATATTTATTTATATAAACCTACAAGTTTGTGTCAGCTGCTGCCCAATTCTCTGACAGGATCACCTGATTATCAATGATCAATGGATCATTCCCCAGGAGGGAAAGGAAATGGAGAAAGCACCAAGCAGAAGCAGCAGCTGGGAGGGGAGGAAGATTTTCATTGAAGCCCTTCTCTTTGAACAAAGCCTTTGAGAGGGACAGAACTGGAATGCCTCTTCCCAACTCAGAAGAAGACAGGACTGTCCAAACCTTGGACTCAGCTGAACTGAGACTGGAATCCCAGCAAGAGGCTGAGATCTCAGATGCTCCTTAAGTTAGCTGGGAAAACAGGGAAAAAGGAAGCCCAGAAAAAGAAGAGAAACAGTTTGGTCTAGTGGTTAGGGCACTGGGCTAGAAAGCGGAAGACCATGCTTGAGATCAGGTCCTGCCTTAGCCACGAAAGCCAGCTAGGTGACCTTGGGCCAGTCGCATAACCACCTCACAGGGTTATTGTTGTGGAGAAAAAAATAGGAGGAAGGTGTGTTGGATATGTTTACAGCCCTGAGTTATTTGTGAAAATAATAAAGACAGGTAATAAATACATGAATTCATAAATAAACAAGCAAGCAGCAAGTAAGCAAACATGTTAGCTAGCTCCCCAAAGGGAGACACATGAAAGAAATTGATCCATCTTTCAATCACCCAGAAAAGGATACTTACTGAGAAATGCCAAGATCCCACAAATTGCACACACCAAGATAACGCCAGCCACACTAACACTGATGATAAGCCCCAGACTGGAACTGGATTCTGGAACTGGATTGGGAGAAAGAGCAAATCACTCCATGGGAACCACAAAATATCTACTTATTGGGGGGGAAAGATCTAAAACAGCGAGAAAGATAAGGGATCTACCAAGTTAAGAAATGTCAGATGTCTTTACGTCACAGGAGATGTCAACATTTTTATTCCACACATTCTACAGGCTATTCACTCTGAAGGATAACTTTCCGAAGGGTGAAGTGTTGAGAAAAGCCTTTCTACCTTTGAAAAGATCGTGTTTGCAGAAAGGCAGCAAGCAGAATCTTTCTCTCTTTTTTAACATAGTTATTTTCATTTCTTAACAAGAATAAAATACAAAACAGGAAAAACAAAAAACATAGAACATTAACAGTGAAAATAAGAAAGAAAATTTGAGGTGTACAAAAAAGAAGGGAAAATTAAAAAAAATGTCAGATATATCTAACGATGAACATAAAGTATCCAACCTGGCTGGATGCTGAAAGATGAATTTTTTTAAAAAAACTGATAGGTTTTCCTCCCTTTACATTAACAGGTCTACAAATAGTTATAAGTTTTCCCATCCTTATTTAGCAAAATACTATATTACATAAACAAATATTCCAGAGGAGAGAATATATGTATCTAACAATCAAGTCGACCCAACATAATATATATGTAAAAAGAAAGAAAAAAAAGCCAATAGGTTAACCCAAACATTATCCTAATCTTCAAATCGCCCCGTTAACCATCTGTTATTGTATTTAACACATAGAAAGTCCACAGATGACTTCCAGTCTCTTATAAAGCTGTCTAGTCCATTGCCTCATCAGGGCAGTTAATTCTGCCATCTCGGCTAATTTAGTCAACTTTAAAATCCATTCTTCAACAGTCAGCATCTCTTTTCCTCTCCAATGCTTCGCAAATGCAATCTTTCTGAAGGATTGAAAATTTTTTTCCAGCCAACGTCTTTGAGAAACACACGGTTGCTTGGCAGATGGACTCCGCTCCACATTGGGCAATAGAATAGAATAGAATAGAATAGAATAGAATAGAATAGAATAGAATAGAATAGAATAGAATAGAATAGTAAAATAGAATAGAATAGAATAGAATAGAACAGAAGAATAGAATAGAATAGAATAGAATAGAATAGAATAGAATAGAATAGAATAGAATAGAATAGAATAGAATAGAATAGTAGAATAGAATAGAATGGAATGGAATGGAATAGTAGAATAGAATGGAATAGAATAGAATAGAATAGAATAGAATAGAATAGAATAGTAGAATAGAATAGAATAGAATGGTAAAATAGAATAGAATAGAATAGAATAGAATAGAATAGAATAGAATAGAATAGAATAGTAGAATAGAATAGAATGGAATGGAATAGTAGAATAGAATGGAATAGAATAGAATAGAATAGAATAGAATAGAATAGTAGAATAGAATAGAATGGTAAAATAGAATAGAATAGAATAGAATAGAATAGAATAGAATAGAATAGAATAGAATAGAATAGAATAGAATAGAATAGAATAGAATAGAATAGAATAGAATTTGGCTCAAGCAGGAGAACCCATACCATCTCAGACAGGTGATTGTCCAGGCTCTTTTTTAAAATTTCCAGTGATGGAGCACCCACAATTTCTGGGGGTAAGCTGTTCCACTGGTTGATTGTCCTCACTGTCAGGAAGTTTCTCCTTAATTCCAGGTTTCTTCTCTCTTTGATCAGCTTCCAACCATTTTTTACTCGTCCTTCCCTCTGGTACTCTGGTGAACAACCTGACCCCCTCTTCTTTGTGGCAGCCCCTCAGATACTGAAATACTGCTATCATGTCTCTCCTATTGCTTTTCTTTAGACTGGCCAAACCCAAGTTCTGCAGCCGTTCTTTGTACGTTTTGGTCTCCAGGCCTTTGATCATCTTAGTTGCTCTTTTCTGACATGCCATCTGACACGCAACCCTGTGGCTATCAAAGAAGCTGGATAAACTGGTCTGCTCCAAAATGGGTCCTGGCAAGAATCAGCTTGAAACCTAATGCAGTTCTAGTTAAGTTAATGCAGTTCTAGGCTGCAATAACAGACGGATAGAATCAAGGTCAGGTGAAGTGTTAATAGCACTTTACAATGTCTTGGTAAGGCCACACTTGGAATACGGCATCCAATTTTAGTCACCACGATGTAAAAAAGATGTTGAGACTCTAGAAAGAGTACAGAGAAGAGCAACAAAGATGATTAGGGGACTGGAGGCTAAAACATATAAGGAACGGTTGTTGGAATTGGATATGTCTAGTTCAGGGGTCTTCAAACTTGGCCCTTTTGTGACTTGTGGACTTCAACTCCCAGAATTCCTCAGCCAAGCATGCTGGCTGAGGAATTCTGGGAGTTCAAGTCCAGAAGTCATAAAAGGGCCAAGTTTGAAGTCCCCTGGTCTAGTTTAATGAAGAGGAGGACAAGGAGTGACATGATACCGTAGCAGAAGAGGGAGTGAAGCTATTCTCCAAAGCACCTGAAGGCAGGGCAAGAAGCAATGGATGGAAGCTGATCAAAGAGAGAAGCAACCTAGAACTAAGAAGAAATTTCCTGACAGTGAGGACAATTAACCAGTGGAACAACCTGCCTCCAGAAGCGGTGAATGCTCCAACTCTGGAAGTTTTTAAGAAGAGACTGGACAGCCATTTGTCTGAAATGGTATAGGGTTTCCTGCCTGAGCAGGGGGTTGGACTAAATGACCTCCAAGGTCCCTTCCAACTCTACTACTACTATTTATTATTATTGTTGTTGTTGTTGTTATTATTACTATTATTATTATATATCTGGGCACAATTTCTCTCCCATAATCCTCCAAAGAGCCTAGCCTTTCCCTCCCTGTAGCCTCTCACCCTTCAGGTCCAGATCCAGAGGCTGCTGCAAGCCATCGTGCTCCACGTGGCACCGATAGCGGCCCCTCTCCTTGGGATCGATCTGGATTCCGAGCGAGTAATAGTAGGTCCCATCAGAGTTGGGGGCCAGAGACTCATGGAAGGTGTCTTGCAGCCAGAATTCCCCATCCCTCGTCCAGGAGGCATCGATCTCCCTGGGATAGAAGCCGTGGATTCGGCAGACGTGCCTCTCCATACCATCGGCTTCTGCACCGATAGCGGTCCCTCTCCTTGGGATCGATCTGGATTCCGAGCGAGTAATAGTAGGTCCCATCTGAGTTGGGGGCCAGAGACTCATGGAAGGTGTCTTGCAGCCAGAATTCCCCATCCCTCGTCCAGGAGGCATCGATCTCCCTGGGGTAGAAGCCATGGATTCGGCAGACGTGCCTCTCCATACCATCGGCTTCTGTCCTACTGCTCATCGTCACCACTGGAGCAACTGGGGAAAAAAAAAGGCTGTTAAAATCAAAATTGAGCCTCTCTGGAAATTAGCTTGACATGCATCGCACGTGCAACCAGAACTAGGAGTCTCCAAATAAATCAAGTTGCTTTGAATAGTTTCTTTCGGCCGAAAAAACATAAAAGCACTTTATTAAATAGAGGTACCCCTCGACTGACAACATTTAGTGACCGTTCAAAGTTACAACAGCACAGGAAAAAGTGCCTTAGTTTTTCACACTTACGACCGTTGCAGCATCCCCATGGTCACATGATCAAAATTCAGACGCTTGGCAACTGACTTGTATTTATGATGGTTGCAGTGTCCAGGGGTCATATGATCACTTTTTATCATCTTCTGACAAGCAAAGTCAGCGGGGAAGCCATATTCTCCTAACAACCGTGTTACTCATTTAACAACTGCTGTGATTCACTTAACAACTATAAGTCGTAAAATGGGGCAAAATTCACTTAACAAAGTTCTCGCTTCGCAACAGAAATTTTGGGCTCAATTGTGACTATAAGTCGAGCTGTATTATTGTTTTCTCTGTTGCCTTGCAAGTACACTGAGTGTTTCTGTCCCGGAGACAAATTTCTTGTGTGTCTAATCCCCTGTGGCCAAATCAAGTTGATTTGATTTGATTCGAATTAACTCTTCTGGTCCTGTTTCCTGTCTGGATTCCCTTAGAACAGTGGTGGCGAACCTATGGCACGGGTGCCAGAGGCGGCATTCAGAGCCCTCTCTGTGGGCACACGCACCGTCGCCCCAGTCCTAGGTCTTCAGCTGGGTTTTATAAAACCTTTTCACTTTAGGCCTCCACCACGTGCAAAAAAAAAAGGTTCAATCAATCAGTCAATTTCAACTTCTCGTGGGGAAAAAAAAGATCTTGCAAAGTTGGAATTGATTGATTCAACTTTTTAGTCCCACCCAGTCTGCCGTTACCACTGCAGCCACGCCCAGCCAATGGGCCACATCCACCCAATTGGCCACACCCAGCCAATGGGCCACACCCACCCGGCATCCGACGATGCATAAGTGGGTTTTGGGTTGCAGTTTGGGCACTCGGTCTCTAAAAGATTCGCCATCACTGCCTTACAAGATTGACACTACTATTTCCACTTCTAGAGGCTGATTTTTTTAAAAAATAAAATATCAGAGAGGGCTAAAAACAAGGGCAGCATCAAGGCTGCAATCGCTTGGATGACTCCCCAGATCCTTCCTCAGAGATAAGCTCAAGGCAGGATAAGCCCATTCCTGGCACTTCTGGAACTTGGTTAAATAATGACAGCCAGCCGAAAAAGAATCAGAGGCGGCTTCAGCTGGGGAAAGCCTGCAGTGGCAGACGGCCAGCGAAGAGGAGGAGGAACTGACTCCTGCAGCTGATCCGAGAGCACACAGGGCAGAGAAAAGGCAGGAGCAATGGAGGTCAGCCAGACTACTCGGGAAGAGAAGGCCCTGCCCGTCTTGATGGGCTGCACTGGGAAACTGGCTATTTAGGACAACAGGAATAGGGAGGCATTACTGGGAACGTGTCAGTTTGCCAAGTGTTTGTTTCCTCGTTGTGCTTCCTGCTTCACTGTATTTGGAATCGTGCCTTGGAGACTCTGAACCTTTTTTGCTAAGTGAGCTTTCATGTGTGTGTATTTAATTTTGGCCTGGTGGATTTAAGTTTGTTTGGTGGAGCTATTTGTTTGAGCAATTTTACTTATTTATGGATTATTGACTGGTTGCTTTGTGGACTCAACTTGGCTTGCTTGTGGCTGGGCCTATAGGGACAGTTCTGAATATTGGTAAAGGGAATTACTGGGGAACATTAATACACTCACTAAACCACAGTTATCTGGGTGTGAGTGAGTGGGGCAGCACATCGGCTGACGATCGCCAGCAGCAAACAAGCCAACTGGGTCATCTGGCCTGTTCTTTGCCAGCAAACCTACACAGGAAACACTTGCAACACTTAAGCAGATGCAGCTCCCATACTTTCTCTCTGGCTGTTTCTCCATACCTTCCCTCAAGGATGTCCCCGATCTGTAGTGGTCGTTCTTCTGCAGCCATTCCATGCAGGTGCTCTCCAGGTAACCTGTGAAACGCTGCTTGATGGCAGTTTCGTCCTCCCACTTCCGCTTGATTCCCTGGGCTTCTGTGTCAGCTGCTGTCCAGATGCCGGTCCCGATCTCGTAGTCAAGGAAATCCCGCCCATCATAGCCATACTGCCAGCGGCCGCTCCTTTTTCCATCTTCCCCTACTTCACAGAAGATCATCATCTGGACGATGTGAAAGCCTAAAAGAAGCATCCCCAAGGTTAGGAGGAAAAGCTCTCTAGGAAATCAGAGAAAGCCACTTCCTGCTGGAGCTCCAGATTCTGTGACTGCTGAGACAAGAAAGCAAGAAAGACAAGGATTACAGGAAGAAATCTTGAAGGCAAGTCAAGGTTGAGACAGAATTTGGGATCTGTAAGACAGATTTCTCACTATAAAGGAACTCACTATAAACAAGGCTGGGAAATTCCTCATACAGTTCAAAATTCCTTAATTAAGATAGGATTTTTTAGATGCCCACATCTCCCGGCACTGGAGTGGTCGCCTTTCCTGAGATCACTTTTAGATAACTCGAAATTGTGAAGGCAAAAGATCTATATTGTTAGCACTTGTGGATGATATTTGTTACAGATCTTGAGACTCTAGAAAGAGTGCAGAGAAGAGCAACAAAGATGATCAGGGGACTGGAGGCTAAAACATATAAGGAACGGTTGCTGGAATTGGGTATAGTTTAATGAAGAGAAGGACGAGGGGTGACATGATAGCTGTGTTGCAATATCTCAGGGGCTGCCCCAAAGAACAGGGGGTCAACCTCTTCGCCAAAGCATCTGAGGGCAGGACAAGAAGCAATGGATGGAAACTAATCAAGGAGAGAAGCAACCTAGAACTGAGAAGAAGTTTCCTGACAGCGAGCACAATTAACCAGTGGAACAAAGACAAAGGAGAAAGATCTGTACAGATCTGCAGCCTTGTATAAAAATAAAGTGCATGCTGGCCTCCTACATTGTCTCCCTAAACCCTCTACAGCTAGTCCTAGACTTACAGCAGTTTGTTTAGTGATTGTTCAAAGTTACAACGGCATTGAAAATGTGACTTAGGACCATTTTTCATAGTTACAACCTTTGTAGCATTCCCGTGATCATGTAATCAAAATTGGCCACTGGTTCATATTTAGGATGGCTGCTGTGTCCCAAGGTCATGTGACCATATTTTGCAACCTTTTGACAAGCAAAGTCAGTGGGAGAAACCAGATTCACTTAAGCCCTGGGTTACCAACATATCAACTGCAGTGATTCGCTTAACAACTGGGGCAAGAAAGGTCGTAAAATGAGGCAAAACTCACTTAACAAATGTCTCACTTAGCAACAGAAATTTTGGGCTCGATTTGCTCAATTTTCTGCACCCACAAAAAAAAAAATTCACATTCCTGATTGCTTCTCGGTGGGACTGCCATTGTCAACGCCGCTAACATCGGATATTTTTGCTTTGACAACAGATGGGGATGCAACCATTTCCTTCTTACGTTTTACTCTTAGAGTTATAGAGTTAGAGTTAGATGATGCTGGGGGAAGGAATATGCATGAGAGTTTAGCTAGAAATAATAATACTGAACCTAGTGTGTGAACCAAGGTTATTGAAATAAGAGATGATAAGAATTGGCCGGGCTGGAGAACTGGAGGGAGAGCCTGCATTTCAAACTAATTGGAGAATGTGATTTATGACTGTTAATTAGAGGAGGGAATTGTGCTTTGATACAATGTGCTCAGGGGAGGGGAATCCAGTTTTTGGCTTCGACTGTGTTAGTGCCGATGCTATGCTTCTCAAATAAAGATTCTTTAAGGTAAACAATGCCTCGAAGTTCTCCGAAGAGTTAATGTGTCGGAACCATGACAGCCATATTTTCATTTTAGACTCGAGCTCATTGGAGCTCTGCAACAGGAAAAAGGCCAGGGCATCAGCAACCAGCTTATTGTGGATTAATTGGTCCGATTCATGAGGAAGGCAGGAAGATCCATAAGAAAATAGAGCTTTTCCTTCCATCTCCTTTCTTGAAGGATAGCACCCACGTCTCTCACACTCCTCACTTACCTCCACTTTGGTTATAGCGTCTCTGGAGCATTTGCACGTTCTCCTGAAAGTCTTTCTGGTCTTTTTGCAAAATCCAGGTGTACCTGTTATAGAATCTGGAATCTTCCTTCTCCAGTGTATTTATCCAATCTACTCGAGGATGCATCGTCCTGGTGTGGCTTTCATAGCGAGTGATGAGCTGATCGTCCACATAACCTTCAGCTGTGAAGG